TTTTCGGTGGTTTGATATGTTATAATTTGTAGACAACATTGTTCTAAGTTTCTTCTCATTCAATTCATTTTCACAAAATCTAAGTAGCTAAGTACAACCTAGGTTATAAAATAAATTTCTCGCAGATATTAATACAGCAAAAAACGGCTAACGGTCAACCGGCTTGATTAAAGTTGACGACCAAACTTCTCCGATGCAAAACAACTGATTCTACTCATTTAAAGTTTTTACGTAGGTTTTCATATATTCTGCGTCGATCTACATCGTTTTCCGTTCAAGATCAAGATAAAAAATCATAGTTGCCAGTCAAAATCTACAGTTTTCATATAAAAATGAGGTGACCGTTCACTTCGTCGCACGATCACTTCGTCGCATAACATTTTGTCGCGTTCTGTTCGTCGCAGAAAAAAAATTCTTTCGTTCTGTTCGTCACAGAGTAATTACTCTCGTTCTCTTCCTTTCTACTTGTTGTATCTCACTTAATTAATGAATTTTTTTTGTACAACCAATTGAAATAAAATAAATGAAAAATTCTATGAAATATGTACAATTAAAATAGACAAATGATAATTCCAACAATAATAACTCTAATTGAGAAAGCGGATCAATACGAATACTCATATATAATCGCAACGGGTCTAAAGTGAACGATGAATAATTAGATTTGTTACTCGGTTAATCAATTTTAACATAATCCAGGCTAAAGATAAATAATAAAATAATATTCTTAAATATGAAGCCAGAAAAAAAAATACATTTCATTTTTCAATATCAACTCTCACTGCGAACTACTCTTTAATCAAAATCTCTCAAATCGAAAAATTTCTTTCTGTAAAAGGAAAACCAATAATTCATCACGAAGATTACATCTACATTGTAGAACGTACGACATCGACGAAATTGATCTTTCGTTGTCAGAATCGAGATTGTAAAGGTAAGTTAACATTTACTATCAGTCAATTAAACCAAAAATTATTGATCTATTAAGCTCGATGTCATACCAATTTATCTATGGACGTATTTCTCTCACAACCAACAGCCCACTGTCATGCTCCTCAACCTGATCATGTGCCTGCTATTCAATTAAAAAATGAAATTAAAGCTCGTGCCGTAACAACAGATGAATCAACCAGCTCCATTATTCATTCTGCTTTGCGTACGTATCCGGTGAGTGCTGCTGGTGAACTTCCAAAAAATGAAGCACTTATGCTAATGATTCGACGACAGCGTACTGTTGAAACAGTCGATGCTGATGGTTGTTTACCAGAAAAATTAAGAAAGACGTATCGCGATGAAGACTTCATCTTGCACGAAGACAAAAATTTAATTATCTTTACAACAAAAACAAATTTATCGATTCTGAAGCAAAATAAACATTAGTACGCTGATGGAACATTCAAAGTAAGCTATCAATTAAGAGTTTATATCTTTTTTTTTCTAATTTTCTTTGACGTAGGTGGGTCCTGATGATTATTATCAATTATTCACGTTACACGCGATGATGACTAATGCAATTATCCCTTTCGTCTATGGATTATTAATTGGTAAAAGTGCTCAAGATTACAATTCATTCTTCAAAAATGTATTAGTACAAGACAATTTTCAACCTGAATCAATTATGACTGATTTCGAAACTGGTACAATCAAATCGGTTAGAGAAATTTTGCCAAACGTTTTACATAAAGGTATTTTGTAATATTGTCAAAAAACAAGTAATCAAAATGTTTGTTATAGGATGTTTCTTTCATTTTTCGCAAGCGATATGGCGGCAAGTTCAAGGAAAAGGATTGGTAACAAAATATAGAGAAGATGAGTACTTTCGTTTAAATGTAAAAAATTGATTGCTCTTGCCTTGGTTCCAGTAGATGAAATTACAACCGGCTTTGACTTAATTGCCAATCAATTCGACGATGACGCCGATGATTTACTTGATTATTTTGAAAAAACATGGATTGGTGAACCAAAAAGAAGAGGTAATTTTTTTTTCTTCATTCTTAAGAAATATGAAATATAATCGACTTTCTTAGGAACTGGTCGAAAGAAGCCTCAATTTGATCACAAATTATGGAATATGCATGATCGTGTCGTCGCTGCTGTACCTCATTCGAACAATTCGGTGGAAGGCTGGCACAATGCATTTGGGAACCGCGTCGCAATCAATCATCCAAATATCGTGAAATTGGCAGAGAAAATTCGTCGTGAACAATCGAAATTCGAAGTGGACATGGCGAAGATTCTCCAAGGTCATGATATTAAGATGAAGAAGGCCTGGTATCGACGATTGGACGAACGAATTACTCGGCTGGTCAATGCATTTGACTCATCTCAACTGGATCAATTCTTAACAAATATGGCAGCCAACATTAATCTTCAGGTAATGTTTTTCTTAAAATTATTTTGTTTTCTTTAGGTTACTTTTTTCCTTTCTTTTTTTCCTTTCTTTTTTTCTCTTTTGTTTTTTTTTGTTTTTTTCTTTCTTTTTTTTCTTTTTCTTTTTCTTTTTTTTGTTCTGAATTTGTTCATCATTATGTTATGTATAATACACAAAATAAAGGTGAGTTAATTGATCAATTTCACATCTTTGAAAAGAAAATTAATTAAAAGAGATGCGACGAACAGATAGTGACGAGCACAGCTAAAGAAATTTTTCTGCGACTGACAGAACGAAAGAATTTTTTCTGCGACGAACAGAACGAAAGAATTTTTTTCTGCGACGAACAGAACGCGACAAAATGTTATGCGACGAAGTGATCGTGCGACGAAATGATTGCGACGAAGTGAACGCAACGAAATGTACTAGCGCCAAAAATGACTTAAAAAAGCTCTTTTTTCGGCTTTGACATTTCAAGTACTCTTCTGACTCAAGCAAATCTGAAAACATTTCTAATATAACAACACTGGTGGCAGTTCGAAATAAAAATCAACATCATTATTTTGATGTTCCAAATCAATATAACCGACCGCAACTTTGTCTTTTAAAGAAAAGTGTCTGTGAGTTACCAAAATGTCTGTGTGTTACTTGATGGCTTCTATCTAACTCGCTCATATATCAATGTATCGACGTTCTCTTTTAATCAATAGATAGCCCAGAATGTTAGCTACAAAACCAACTCTCACTTAATTGATTAACTCAGAGTATCTCGTCGTGTTCTCATTTCTCTTACACACACGCAGAAAAAGAGGAACTTTTTTGTCTGTGCGTTACCGACCAATATTTTTTGTATAAAACTCGACTGCGTAAAGATAGAAAAGTGAAGTTTTTATGGTAAGAAGAGCTCTGTCGAATATATATTTGCTAAAAGTTTTATCGCTCTAGCTTCATTGGTTGTCGAGATATACTCCTCTGGATTTGAGAAAACGTCTGTGCGTTACCTGTATTTTTCATGAATATGTCATTCAATAGGGCAACAAAAGAGCTTCAATTTGATATACAAGTTGGCTGAATACATGAATGAAATCAGTGCAATATATACTGTAAAAATATTCTATACTCTTGTCGGTTTAAAGTCATATGATGTGAACATAATAATTAGGGACGATTAAATCGACTCGAGTGCAATATGAAATCTATTGAATAGTGTCGTTGTAATGCTAATTAATTTTTGACTGTCAAAATGACAAAATAGGATAATTAAAATCAAATTCCAAGAAAAAGCTGACTTTGCCAGTTAATGATCCCGTTCTTCGGGAATATACTTTTTGTGAGTGAATTTGCAACTATCACCGACCATTTTTTTCTGAAAAATATATTTCAGCATTATTATAGTTTATTAAGGAAGAAAAAATTCTTTTATCGCCTAGTGTCAATTTTCCATTAAGGAAGTACATGAATCAGCAACGAAAAAATAAAAAGAAGAATATGATTGATAGTTCCTTTTCACTCATTTGATTCTTTAATATATGTTATTGAGAATGTCATGCTACAAACATCTTACTCATTCGTAATGAATATATACCTCGCGTCATGTTGATGCTGACGGTAACATTTCTTTCACAAAAAATATTTTTTTCCAAAATGTAATTGCACAAGTTTCGTTTTTTATTCTATTCTCTGTCAGACGTATATCATTTTATGACGTGTTATTATATTGTTGTAACTGTCACGAGCAAATTTTTTTTTCAATTGTCTGAGTTTTAATTTACATTTCTCATTTTCGATAAACATCTCTTTATCACAATTTCTATTAATTAGAGATAGATACAAGTTTTGTCGTCATGATCAAGCAATTGGTTAACAAAGTAGGAAACCTTGCGTTGGAATTATTAGATGACCCAGAGACAGCCGATTCGGCCATGCCTAATGAACGTCAAACGGTACGTATTTGAGTCTTCTCAATATGTGTTGGGAGCATACTAATCTTGTTCAAATTAGAGAGAACCAATGCTCTTTCCTTGTGAATTCTGTCGCACAAACTGGAGACGAGGTTTACTTCATCAACACCAAGTAAAAGTACCTTTATTAATAGTATTTGTTAATCAAGACACTAAATCTTAGCTTGCATGTCCTCATAATCCGACAAATAGACGAACGCTTCATAGGCATACAAATACTCAACATCGCCGGCCACCATCTCCTCCTCCTCCTCTGCCTTCTCGTATACCACGGCCTCCTCATCTGCCTCCTCGTATACTACGGCCTCCTCCTCAGCCTTCTCGTATACCACGGCCTCCTCCTCTGCCTCCTCGTATACTACGGCCTCCTCTTATACCACCTGGTCCATCTCATTGTCAATCAGGTAAGTTCTACGTTGTGTGCTCTTTTTCAATACACATCTTGTCCAAAATCAAAGTAAATTATTTGTCTATTGAAATTAATACCCTTCGAAATGCTTTCCTTCGATAGTATTCTCCAGTGTTGTATAACATAACTTTTTTAATTTAGAGAACTCAGTTGTTTCCACAACAGCCCTGATGGCCGATGCATTACAATGTCCTATTACGTCAGATATTTTTCAAGATCCTGTTCTTGCAGAAGACGGACATACGTACGAGAGACAAGCCATTATTCAATGGATCAGACAGAATGGAACGAGCCCAATCACACGACAGCCACTAGACGAAGCAAATCTTCGACCAAACTACGCTATTCGCAAACTTGTTAAAGAGTTGCGCTCTAAAAACACATCTCATTAAGTTCAAAATGTGATTGAATAAATATGTAAATAAAAATTGAAATACTGAATAATATCATCCAAAATAGGATTTTCTAAACTATGGTGAATGGCTTCATATATTTCAATACATTTTCGAATCCATATTGATTGAGTGTAGCCTATGCGCCATATTTTGCCATATATTAAATGTATATGAAATGCGAATCAGATAGTCCTACATATGATTGGGTGTGGGTATGAGTGCAAGTGTATGAATGTTCTTCACACACCCACATTCCGTTCTCATAGTCACAGTCATAGCCACACCCAATCAACGAATACTTAGTGCCAATTGGATACAGATAAAATTATCTGATCAAGTAGAAATTCGACGAAAAATTGAAGAAGCTTCCGGGTCTGTTCAATGTCTTGTCGAAGAATTTATTTGCTAATCAAGAGAAATCTCCAAATTTCTTATGACTATCATCACTATCTTCTACATATGTCCAATAGCAACTCTTTTAATTGGAATTGTTTACATATGTTTCTATTGATTTTATTTAAAGAAACAAAGTGCTCATTTACTTGATGTTAAACTAAAAATGATTGAAAAACATGATAAATTATATTCAAAATATTCACGTGCGAATACAAATATGTTCGAATACGTTATTCATCACGAAAAGGATAAAATTATCAATATTACAAGTGAATTAAAGATTGACATGGAAAGACAATGATTTTTATTCTATTATCTTTATGATTATTTATCATTCAAAGAAGATATACTCGGCAAACTATTCCCATTTATAACTCTTCTCATCTATTATACATTAAATAGAGCTAATACATTCATCATTTCATTGTATCATAACCTATCGACGTTAACCGATAGTGTACATACAATGCTTTGCTCATATATTCGTTAGTTAAGATTGAAGAAAGATCATGATTTAGTTCAACCAATTCTTGAAGAATATGATGAGCGAATGAATGTCGAACAGATAGATTTGAAATATGAATTTCAAATTCGAGATCTTTCATTTCAATACAAAGGTACAAGAGAAGAATTTTATTTGCAATATAGTGGTTCACTTACTTTCAAAATAGGAGAATCAATATTGATTACAGAGGAAAGAGCGGAGCAGGTCACATTGAATAATTATTGTTTAGTAGAAAGAATCGAATCTTATTTTAAGTAAATCGACATTCTATGATATTCTTAATGGTTCGATATCAATGAGTGATTATTCCGCTAAGATACGAATAGACAATGAGAAACAATCAACAACACTTCATTCAATTGAAAAGTGTCGAACAATGGTTTTACAAGATAGTGACATATGGATTATCGATCGACTATATACAGCATGATAACAGATATTGATGAAGACTAAGTAAAACAAGAAAGAACATCTGAAATCGATTCACTTGTATGGGATTCTCATCGTCTTGTTCAAATCGATGATTTTGTTCGAAATGAACTGAAAAGTGATGTTGATCAACCAATGGAGAATAAACTTAGTGGTGGACCAAAGAGGATGTGGGTATGGCAGAAGGAGTACATTCAAATGATACCAACACGCACACCCACATCCCACACCCCCACACCCATACTCACACCTCACACCCACACACACGACCGGGCTCATCCAGGATGGTTCCTAGTTGAGCGCGCGTGCGAATAGAATAGCCATTCTTTTCATTAATTCAACGCGATTTATTGAAAAGAAAAAAAGTAAGCCATTGTGATGAGTTCATTCTATTGAAAATTGTTGAACACGGTTATTTCCCCAATCGGCGACATAGAGATTACCATGTCGATCGAAGGACAAATCTCCAAGTCTGTTGAACTGATTTGCTCCTGATCCTTGACCATTGCCACCCACAATAACAGTACCTTTTTTCGCTCCTTTAGGCCAACGCATCACTCGATGATTCCACGAGTCTGCCACATAGATGGTTCCCAACGTATCAACGAACAGTCCATTAGGATTCGACAATTGTGTCAGACTATCCCCTTGGTCTTGACCTCCAGCAACGACAATTCCTTCTTTTGCACCTTTATTCCATTTCATCACACGATGATTTGCGAAGTCTGAAACGTAGACAATCTGTTGTTGATCGACAAAGATGTAGGTCGGAAAGTTCAGTTGATTGAGACCAGCACCTTCGCCATTGCCACCAGCTATGAGAGTTCCACTATTCTCTCCAATTTTATATCGTCTTACTTCATGTTTTTTGTAGTCAGAGATATAGAGATATCTCTGATCATCCATGGCCAATCCAAAACAATCGATGTTGTCGATGAGGATTTCTCCTTGAGATGTGCCACTACGATGAGACCATCCTACGACTCGTCGATTCTTTTGATCTCAAATAATCAGACGATCCATCGCTTTGTCAATCAACACATCGGTTGGGCCGCTCAATTGATCCCATCGATTTCCTTGGTCGACACCACCGGTTACCACTTGTCCATTCGTATTACCCATCTTCCATTGGATGATACGATGATTGCCGTAGTCAGCGATGACCATAATTTGACCATCACCAACAAAGAGACCAAGAGGGTGGAAGAGTTAATTGACAGCACTACCTGCTCCGTGGCCTCCAGCAACGGTCACTCCTTTCTGTGCCCATCGGGCGTTGACCGGAATATTGAAAATTGCTGTAATGAATGAGAAAAAGAAAAGTAATCGCTATCATTGTTGTCGAAGAGGTCATCCTCTCTCTTACGGAGGAAACTACTACAAATGAGACACTCTTCTTCTTCTTCTTGGAAGGGAGGTTGATAAAACATTTAAGAATGTCCTTCTTGGAGGTGAAATTCAGAAATCTTTCCTAGTTCTCTATAAAAAAAAGGATTTCGTAAAGGTCCTTACGATTTTGTCACTTCTCCAATATCATAAGACTCGGTATTTGCAGAAACTTGTTTAAGTTCTTGCTAAGATCTTTTAGATTTTGGAAAGTAGAATCTTCAAAAGAGACTAAAATCTGCACCTTGAGATTGGTATAAGAAGGCTTTCTGAGAAAGAACAATGCTACTCTGATGCTAGCTCTGAATAAGAAAACATAGGAATCTGAAAATTTTATACGTATTTTTGAATGCAGAATGCTTGCAAGATTAAATACTTCAAGGATTCAAGCAATAGAATAATAAACTCGGTCATACTCCGAAACTGAAAAAGTTCTGAGAAGATTCTATGAAAATCTTGCTACAATCCTTATATAGTACTTGTGCTCAGTGTTAGGTATTGAGCTAACAATCCGAAGTTGCCGCTTTTCTTACCAATGCTGGGATGGGAGATATGCTCAGATTTTTGAAAAAGTGAATTTGCCCATCGATAGGAATTTCTGCACTACCATCCTAAGCCATCGATAACAAACATCAGAAAATTATCTGAAAGATAGTTCGAAAGGAAGAATTTCCGAAATTTGATAATTTATGAAGAAACCTCCCTTTTTTCGAAAGTTTGAACACTGCTGCTGAAGTATTGAGAATCGGTACAATGAACAATAAAAAGAAAAGGAATTGTCATTGTCGACGGGATCATCCTCTCTTTTGTGAAGGAAAGCTCTAGAAATGATACATTCTTTATCTTCTTTGAAAGAAACTTGGTAAAAGTGTTCAAGAATGTTGTTCCCTTACATATTCTACACTGTAAATCAGAAGTTTGGACTTTTAGAAAATTGAGATATAAAATGCTTCAGAATTTTCAATTAAGTTTCATACATCGCTGAACAGAGTTCAATAAATTTAGTAAATCAACCATGACTATGAATAAATTTGAAAACTCACGGTATATTTGATAGAAAATATTATATGATTTATGTGGTCGATAGGACGTGAGTGTTCAGTTATATATTAATATTAGATGATAATATTTAATATTCATTCACTTTATTGTCGACAGGAGTATTGCTAGTTTTTTTTGTTTTTATTTTACAATATATTCTACATGTTTTATTTGTAATATTTCTATTTAAGAAAAAAGTGATCATTCAATCTCTGATAGTTTTTCTCAGTCGGCACATTTGTTTCAAATAAGTATTTAAATTTATATTCAGGTTCAAAAATTTATTTTCTAGTAGGAATGCCCAATTGTCTACTTGGAATTAGTCGAAATTGGCATTGGTTGGACGTAGAAAGCTGCTGTTACATAAGAGAAAGATCTTTTTTGAGGTAATAACATTTTTTTTTTATAAAATTTGACCAAGAATTATCGAGATCGAGGAATCCAAATCTGTAATTAGTTTCTGAAAATTCTTCACTTGATTTTTTAATGAAGAAAAGGATTTTTGAAGAGCATAACCATTTATTTTTATACAGCTTCGTTATGGATTTTTACATTACTGTTTGCTTGATCGGGAAATGAACTAGATAATTTTGAGAAGCTGATAACGAATTGGAATTTCCAGACCCCGAAAATCTATAGAATTTTGTCGTTACTCGGTTACAAAGTAACTGGTGTGGGTGAGTACAGGGTGTTTCATAAGTCTTGAGGCGTCACGTAATAATCTCTAGTCAATTGTTTTGTACATGAGCCTTCAGTACTCGTGTCAATCTTTCAAATGATATATTTTTGGATTATATGTTCTCCTGTAATGATAAAAATATAAAGGTGTATATGTAACGATGAATTTTCTCAATCGATCAATGTGATTTCGTTTTCGAAAGTCTTTTTTAATGAAACGCTGAACAATTCTACATAAAATATAGTATATTAGAAATCAATAATTATTTATCTTATTCGCTTATTTCGCATTCATCGTGATCCACCGATTACGTATTCAGTCATGATATGTACTCAATAACCAGAATGAAATCAATGAAATATATAAAAACATCGCGTGTAGAATGATGTAAAGAAGAACAGAGATTGTATTTTGGACTATTGACAAATTATTGAATAGTCGGACTTTACTTTAAGAAGGTGACAATAAAGTTGCTGACCTATGACCTATAGAAAGTGCACGGGCCATATTAAAGAATAAAGTACTAGAAGAACAATTTTCAAGCTTTAAACAATCTAAAACTAGAATGAACAAAGAATGAAAACAAAGTAATCATATTGAGGGTGTGGATGTGACCATCATATTTATGCTCATCTATATCCTAGGATAAAATCAACTGTTCGATAACTCAGTTCACGTGAAAAGAACTGATGACTATGCTCAGATCTTCCAAAAAGAATGGATCATAGGAGGGTATTTAAGTTCCTAGTTCAGTTGATTGGTAACTGGCTACTAGCATATACATAACAGAGAAGTGATAAGGTTCGTAAAAATGACAACCTACTTGATGGTAGTATAGTGGTAACTGCTTCTGTAGCTGTTGTTTTACTTGTGATGACTTCTGTTGTAGCTGATGTTTTACTTGTGGTGGCTTCTGTTGTAGCTGATGTTGTAGTTGCGATTGGCTCATCACTAATGTTAACAAGGCTACTATCTGTATTAGTGATGATTGTTGACATGCCACTGTTCGAAATTAAATCAATATCGACTGTTGTGCTTGTTTTCGATGAATCAGTAGAATTGATATTTGACTTCGAAACATTAACCATAGTTGCCGTCGTAGTTTGTACAGTAATATTTGTTGTCAAGAATGCAGTTGTATTAGTATCGATCATTGGTGTGCTAACTCTGCTTGCCGAGTCCGAGGCTAGAAGATATGTATCAAAAATGATGTGGAAATAAAACATGATGTCTCTTCCTCAAAATTGAGCTAGAATGAATATAGTTTTTCAAATGTTATACCTGTCTACTTCTCGATAACTAGATATCTATACTCGAGTCAAAGTTTATGCCGCAAAAACAGTATGAAAAGTCGATAGAAGAACTTAGAACTGCTAATAGGTTTGAAATACAAATTTTACTTGGACTATTGGTAGAGTTTGTTGCCATTGTAAAACCAGCCGTCTTTTTCTCACGACTCAATATAGTCGCCAATGGAATAACGAGGATAACAGCCAGAATGAATAGTACAGTTATGAAACATGAGAGACAGCGACGTCGTCTCATACATAACGATCTTCTGTGCAATTCTCTACAAACAATAAACACCATTTTAATGTTATTATGTTTTCAATCACATCAAGGATATCAAACTTACTGAAAACTTCGTAGACTACGAATGTCTGGTCTTGCGGGAGGAATCAAATCACTCTGCTGATGAATAGGCACAATTTGCATCACAGAAACCTATACAATGACAATGATTCAATAGAATACTACAAAGATTGAATGATGCGATAACCAGAATTTGTGAATTTTCTTCTCTATAAAAAAAAATGATTTTATTCAACAAAAACCTAAATGTTTGATAAATAGACGTTGTCGCTTTATTTGACGATGTCTTCATTCTACAGTACGTGAGATCATGATCTAAGCTATATTTATTTTTTCTTTTTGTAATCATACATACTTTTTAAAAAATTCTGATTTTTGACATTTACAAAAGCAAAAAAAAAATATTTTAGTAATAAATTTTATTACGAACAAAAGGAGAATGTATTTTCCAACAGTGAATGTGCTTATTTTTTGATTTAATTGTATTTTACTCAATTATTTGCAAATTTGAAAAAAAGATGTTTAGGCACGTTTGTTAACGCATTTATATCGTTTTGTTTTCTTCTAATGAAAAATATATATGTATAAAACAAGATCTTGTAATTCTGTTTCTTTTTATTGACAAAATAAATGTGTTACTTGATGACATCTACATAATAATAAAACATCGCTGCTTGTTTCCTGATCTGAGAAAACACGTTTTATAATATTTTTTTTTATATTGCTAAATATTATCAAATCGTCTTGTAATTAAATAAGCAAGACAAATAAAGAAAAAAATGTCTATATCATTGTTAGTCTTGATATTTTTTTTTGAATTTTGACGATCTACATATAACTTCTCTTGATGATTAAATTACATGCCAAGATTTTTCTCCTTTAAAAAATGGTCTTTCAGAACTATAGTACAATTATTCATAAAAGCATTATAAAACTAATAGACCATTGACCATCAATATATATGTATCCCATACGTTATTGATTAATATCAGTTTCTATTCGAGAGAATGTCACAGGGCGCAGAAACTACAGAACATCCAAGTCATCTAATTGATTGTGATGCAATGGAATTCTGATCTATCCTTGTTAAAAATGCAATAAAAAGATCGTTCTGCAGATAGAATGTAGGAGGGCCTTGTATCCTGCAGGACGGACCTTCTCCTCTCGGTGACGTTTTATATTCTGTTCAATTTTTCATTCAATCTTGTTGAAAGTTATACTTATGAATTGAACTGATTGTTCATTTAGGCCACCGAATGTATTAATAACATCATTCGCATGTATATTAGAATATTAGTATTCAGCTCTTTTTTAATTCTAAAATGAAATGAATCCTGATGTTATACTTTCGTATTAATAAAAGAAAATGTGTTTCTGGAAAAGAAAAAACTTCATCTTTAGTCTTGCATTTAATTCAATATCGAAAACAAGATATTACGTATGAAGGGTGCGGGGGGTGGTAGTGGAAGTGGATGAAGTGAAGACTAACACCACTCATCCGCCCACATCCACATCCACACATGTTGAAGAATATTATGTGGAACAACTTGAGTATTTTCCTGGCTTTTCTTGAAACCGGCAAACTTACTTCAATATGTATAACGTGTCTACATAATTTTCTAGGCTTTAACCCTTTGGGGACGGTTGGCCCCTTAAGGGGCCATGGCGATTCTCTAGCATCTCAAAACACGCAGATTCCTATATGAGATTAGTTTTTGTGAAAGCATTTATCAGAGAGTTTTTTGGTATAATTTGGATTGTAATTAGGTTATTTTATTCAGATATCCAGTAATAGATTATAAGTTCTTTTAGAAAATAGAAACGTTGAATGATTTATGACGAAATATACAGAAAAAAAACCCCGTTCCCAAAGGGTTAAGTTCATAAAAAATCTTTTTATTGTGAATACTACGTTGATATAAGGCAACTTCATTATAAAGAAGACACACAATTAAATTTAAAAAAACAAATGCATGATTTATTCTTCTTTGATAAAATTCATTTGTAACGATTATATCCCAAATATTTTATTTTTCTTCTATTTAGATCATCTGATCATCAAAGTAAACAATGAGTGTTGTTTTATAAAAAATAACTTTTCTTTGGTTTAGATCAGTCTCAATAATAAAATGAACAGTAAATATTATTTCATTTAATAAAATAATTTTGTATTATTTACTGCGAATCGAGAGAAAGAAGTTATCTCTTTCCTCATTCACAAGAAACATGTTCGAGTGTGATGGTAAATGACAATGATATACATCTTGAGACGTAGTCATAGTTGTAGATCCAAATATTATAACCACGACTGATCATCGGAAATAATATTTGAATAATCGTAGTTTTATCTAAAAATCGGAAAAATCTCTAGTTTAGATGATTAATCGCGATAAAATCGCCAATTTTTGCACAATTTTGATGACATATATAGATAGGCGAAATACGTTATAATTACATATGATGATTTGCTTCTACAGTGTATTTGCATTGCAAAAATAAAACAATTCTGGTTCTGATTTTTTTAAAACTGCAGTTGGGTGTGGGTGGCATTTTTTTCTTCATAGACATCCACACTGACACCCACACCCTCCTCTTGGGATTCAGAATGACTTTAATTCACTGTTTAAGAATGCGAAGCATAGAAATATGCTTTTGCTCATATCTATATAGAATAAATAGCTAAATATAGAGAAGAGACTTCATACAAATCGCACTACATTTAAAGTCCAGTAGTTCAGTGAGTTGATGTAGCAGATTGGAGCCCACAATGAACACCCAAACCCAAAACTCAATACGCAAACTCATGAAACCCAAACCATTTGGGTTTGGTTTATGCCTAGCCACACCCACACCCACAAGCCATTTGATGAACTTCTTGAAGTTCCTCAGGCTATAATAAGTTCAAAAACTTACACTTAGTACAGTAAAAACAAAATAACCACTGGTCAATGATCCAGTAATTTCCTCGAAGTTTCTCGAAACTTTAATTCAAGTTTTGATCTGTTATTTGGTAGAGCATGTCATCATCTATCTTCAGGGGATGCGCAAACATGCTCGTTTAAACTCTTGTCGAGATATAGTGTCTCAAATTTAACCTTCCATCAAAATCTGTTGGCAATTTTTATACAGTGATCCAGTGGCGTAGCCAGGAATTTTTGTGTCTTGGGCAATTTCCTGATAATTTTTTTTAAAGATTGGGCAATTTAAAATCTATTGGGCACCATTTTTTTTAGTGTTTATTTCTATCACAAAAATCGATGCTTCTTAAAGATGAATTATTACTTTCAAGTTAGAGGCGAGCATACTCGGTTTCTCTAATATCTCACAAATATATTCTTCAGTGGTGTAGCCAGCAATTTTTGGATCTTTGGCCATTTCCTGATAAATTTTTTATAGGATTGGG